GGGTAACAAGGGCGAAACTCCGTCTAAAAAAAAAAAAAAAAAATTCGCTGGGTGTGGTGGGGCACGCCTGTAGTCCCAGCTACTCGGGAGGCTGAGGCAGGAGAATTGCTCGAACCTGGGAAGTGGAGGTTGCAGTGAGCTGAGATTGCACCACTGCAGACCAGCCCAGACAATAAGAGCAAAACTCCGTCTCAATAAATAAATAAATAAATAAATAAATGAGCGGCATTGGGGCCAGCTTAGGAGGTCAGGAAGGACATTTCTGAGAGGAGGCAGCCCGAGGGGGTGACATTGTTCCCATCAAGTCTGGAAACCAAGCACGAGTCACTTGACTTCCAAAAGGGAAGTTAGACAATCAGGGAAGGGAAACTGGGGCGTTCTACTTCATGTCTTGGAATCCATACTCGAGAATGAGATGGGCTCGATCACAAATGAAAAACGCAGATATTCATAGCAACGTGATTCACAGCAGCCGAAAGGTGGAGACCGCCCGAATACCCATCGACAGATGAGATGAGCTACACAATGTGGCCCTTTTGTACCACGGAATTGTATGCAGCCTCGGAAAGGGAGGGAACCCTGACCCCTCCTTCGGGACCTCACGCCCAGGGACAGAAGCCAGACACGAAAGGAGAAATCTTGTGTGTTTGTTTTTTCTTTTTGTTTCTGGTCCTGGGTTTTTTGGTTTTTTTTTTTTTTTTTTTTTTTTGAGATGGAGTCTCGCTCTGTCACCCACGCTGGAGTACAGTGGCGAAATCTCGGCTCACTACAAACAGCCTCCTGGGTTCAAATGATTCTCCTGCCTCAGCCTTCCGAGTAGCTGATATTACAGGCATGTGCCACACACCCAGATAATTTTTGTATTTTTTATAGAGACGAGGTTTTGCCAAGTTGACCAGGCTGGTCTCAAACTCCTGACCTCAGGTGATCCACCTGCCTTCGCCTCCCAAAATGCTGGGATTATAGGTGTGAGCCACCGTGCCTTGCCCATCTGTTACTACAGTTTAAAAAGGGAAAAATAAGTCCGGAGTGGAGGCTTATGCCTGTAATCCCAATGCTTTGGGAGGCTGAGGCGGGCGGATCACTTGAGGTCAGGGGTTCACGACCAGCCTGGGCAACATGGCTAAACTCCATCTCTACCAAAAATATTAAAAAAAAAAATAGCCAGGCATGGTGGTGGGCACCTATAATCCCAGCTACTCAGGAGGCTGAGGCAGGAGAATCATTTGAACCCAGGAGGCAGAGGTTGCACTGAGCCAAGATTG